AAGTCAGAAACTATGGTTAATTATTTACAAATAATGAAATATTTACCACAAACATTTAGGAAATTTAAATGTTGAGACGAGATTTTAGAAAACAGAGATAATGGTGGTCTGTGAGTGGGTTAGCATAGTGTCGTTCGAAAAAACGGACAGCCTGGTTACTGGCCATAATGCTTCGAGATCGAGTGGATATGCTGCATCATGGTTGAGCTTTTAGAGAACAGAGCCACAGGCGTAGTGTCTAGTCGAGAGTTTGAAACCGCTTTAAAACTAAGTTTATTTTTCTTCTTCCAGAAGAAATGACCTTTACTTCTGGTTGGACCCAGCCTAAACATAGTGCCTGGTAATTTCATGGGAAGTTGGGCTGCTTGGAGTAATAGCGACCGTATCATCTACGGAGTGTCGCCTGGTCTTATTTAAAGAAGGCATTGGTGCCTCCACTGCATTCAATTCCTAGTATAAACAATAAAAAACCATATACAATAATTTGTATTTCTCGAAATTAAGCACTATTACAGTAAGTTAATATTCTTCTTTTATTCGCGTTCACCAGCTGTAAACTCTAGGGGAATGTTCTGGTTCTTCAACCACTTCTGGACTGCAGTCCTGTTCCAGAACCTGAGTGTTGCGCATGCATCCGTTTTACAGATCTGACTAATCTGTATGCAGATTGCTGGTTCCTTGCCTCTCATGCAGATGCAATCCGACTTCGAAGGAAGCTTCCAATTAGTCGACACTTACGACAGGCTTCTAGGTAACCAGTGGGTCTATAGTTTTTTCCCCCTTTAATATGGCCCCGGAACCCACACGGGAAGTAAGTTAATATAAAATAGTGTACATTTTTATATACTTCCACTTGCCATGGGTCTAGTGTCATCTGGCCGAGGGGACACAGGCTTCAAAACTCACTTTTCTTAGTTTTGTAAACGTGAACGAGTCTGGGTGTAGCAAATATCCTTATATAGTATATTAGCACCTGGTTATTGCGATCATGCTTTTCCATAACACTTGATCTGGCAAAATACGAGTTCCATAAAAATGAGCTTGGCCTGAGCTGGTTGATATGCCCGTTAATAGATCACGGTGAGGTCAGCCCACTAGGAAGACACCATTCGTATCAACCTAGGAGGAGAAAAACATGACCTAATGTTATGACAGCGCCCACCACGACACTTAGTATGGTTGGCAGGTGGTCTGGAAGGAATTCTTGTAACGAAATCATAGTTTAACTAATCGTGTCTGATAGCATCTCAACAGTGTGATCTTGTTGACTTCTGTCACAGACATAATGTATGTTAATCCTTGTATATAAATCACTAGTTTAACTAATCGTGTCTCATACCATCTTAATAGTGTGATCTTGTTGTCGTCTGTTACATACAGAATGCATGTTAATTCTTGTAACGAAATCGTTTGTTCAACTAATTGTGTCCCATAGCATCTCAAAAGTGTGATCTGGTTTTCTGTCACAGACAGAATGTATGTTAGTTCTTGTTACGAAAAAATAAGTTTAACTAATCGTGTCTCATACCATCTTAATAGTGTGATCTTTTTGTGGTCTGTCACAGACAGAATGTATGTTAATCCTCGTATATAAATAACTACTTTAACTAATGGTGTCTCATACCATCTCAAAAGTGTGATCTTGTTGTCTGTCACAGACAAAATGTATGTTAGTTCTTGTAACGAAAAAATTAGTTTAACTAATCGTGTCTCATACCATCTTAATAGTGTGATCTTTTTGTCGTCTGTCACAGACAGAATGTATGTTAATCCTTGAACATAAATCATTAGTTTAACTAATCGTGTCTCATACCATCTCAACAGTGTGATCTTCCTGTCGTCTGTAACAGACAGAATGTATGTTAATCCTTGTATATAAATCACTAGTTTAACTAATCGTGTCTCATACCATCTTAATAGTGTGATCCTGATGTCGTCTGTCACATACATAATGTATGTTAATTCTTGTAACGAAATCTTTAGTTCAACTAATCGTGTCCCATAGCATCTCAAAAGTGTGTTCTTGTTTATTTCACAGACAGAATGTATGTTAGTTCTTGTAACGAAAAAATAAGTTTAACCAATAGTGTCTCAAACCATCTTAATAGTGTGATCTTTTTGTCGTCTGTCACAGACAGAATGTATGTTAATCCTTGAATATAAATAACTAGTTTAACTAATAGTGTCTCATACCATCTTAATAGTGTGATATTTTTGTCGTCTGTCACAGACAAAATGTATGTTAGTTCTTGTAACGAAAAAATTAGTTTAACTAATCGTGTCTCATACCATCTCAAAAGTGTGATCTTGTTGTCTGTCACAGACAGAATGTATGTTAGTTCTTGTAACGAAAAAATAAGTTTAACTAATCGTGTCTCATATAGTGTGATCTTTTTGTCGTCTGTTACAGACAGAATGTATGTTAATCCTGGTATATAAATTATTAGTTTAACTAATCATGTCTCAAACCATCTCAATAGTGTGATCTTGTTGCCGTCTGTCACAGACAGAGTGTATGTTTTTCTTGTATATGAATCATTAGTTTAACTAATCGTGTCTCAAACCATCTCAATAGTGTGATCTTGTTGCCGTCTGTCACAGACAGAGTGTGTGTTTTTCTTGTTTATGAATCATTAGTTTAACTAATCGTGTCTCAAACCATCTCAATAGTGTGATCTTGTTTCCGTCTGTCACAGACAGAGTGTATGTTTTTCTTGTATATGAATCATTAGTTTAACTAATCGTGTCTCAAACCATCTCAATAGTGTGATCTTTTTGTCGTCTGTCACAGACAGAATGTATGTTAATCCTGGTATATAAATCATTAGTTTAACTAATCATGTCTCATACCATCTCAATAGTGTGATCTTGTTGCCGTCTGTCACAGACAGAGTGAATGTTTTTCTTGTATATGAATCATTAGTTTAACTAATCGTGTCTCAAACCATCTCAATAGTGTGATTTTGTTGGTGTCTGTCACAGACAGAGTGTATGTTTTTCTTGTATATGAATCATTAGTTTAACTAATCGTGTACATTAGTATCCTGTTCAACGGCTGCAGGCGTTACTAATTATTGTTTTTAACTCTTTCATTGCCAGTTACGGGTCCACTGATATTCTCAATGCTCTCAGACAGGAAGGACGAGAAGAGGATTCAGGAGACGAAGTTGAGTCTGCAACACCGAAAATACATTTCAGGTCAAAAGAGGTATTGCCAGACATGAGCACTATACAGGTAGCCAAACACGAAAAGAAAACCGACACAGATCTGGCGTTATTAGTCGCCAAACATTGTGGGTGGGGGGGGGGGGGGTTGTGGTATACTGAAGATGGGATCTGAGCGCTTATGGACTTGTCCGGTGTTCAATGATGATGATCTGTCTATTAACAAACTAACTAACTAACCAACTAACAAATTAAATAATTAGCTAATAATAGATACTGGATTATACAATTCACTACTTGGGTCTAAATGAGCTACACCAAAACTGGGTCACAATAAGTTCATATGGTTGGTTAGGTAATTTTTATATTTGTTTTTTTTTTTTAATGGAAGGTTAATTAATAGATTTTATTTGGACAAGCTAATATATTATCAGGCGCCTTGCCGAATGGCGTGGGCGATCATGACTCTCCACAATCTGCGATCTCCTGCAGCATGAATCTGTTTGTGTGGTGACACAATTATTTGGCACAGAAAGAACGATTTCAGCACTGCTTCTTAGGGTAGAAGGGAGTTATAGTAACAACTGTCTGGGGCTGAAAGAAACCAGTAATTACTTATTGAGTGACATGGACAGAATCACAACACGTACACATTTATTACAATAAATCAAACCCATTAACAACCACAAAACAAAAAAGAAATGATAAGTCCGGAAAACTATATCGACTATAGTTTTCTTTGTTTATAAAGTCTTTGGGTGAAATGTTTGCTCGTTGTCTGAGGTTTTTGTTTTTTCTCATTCGCGTAATTTACTCAGATGCTCCGGACTGACTGACTTTCTACCCCACAAGGACATCACACAAGCGATAAACTCCTGATGACACAAAGTGCCACCACGTGGATGAGGATCACCGTGGAGAGGTCCAAGAAACCGCGTTCAGACAATTGGCCATATTGATGGCCTGCCTATATTGCGGCCCCTGGCAAAAGCCAGAGTGGGGCTTCAAATAACACAAAATTACGTCCTAAAAAGGACGTAACTAAAATAGTAGATGCTCCGGAAAATCAGGCACACAAAAATACAAAAACACATTGCTACAGCACACCCCCACCGCCACTGTCACCACCGCCACTGTCACCACCTCCATTGTCATCACCACTCTGTCATCACCACCACTTCCCTCTTCCCATAAGAAAATGTGTAGGGAGACTAAGCGTCCCCAGTAATCGTGTATAGAAGTTTTTGTTTTGATAAACTGTTAATATATCAAACATTATTTCATATAAATAGTCATATTAGTTTGTCATTCAACACATTATTGTCTCCAGACTTCTCTATCAAGTCTTTATATAGACACAGGAGAGAAACATAAAAAGGAAGGGACCAAGATAGACTCTGTGACGAACCATCACCAAAGAAGGCTCAACCATAGCCCCAATAAACATCCAAGACCTAAAACAAGTGAGAATGACTCGCCAGACATGGAGAGCTATGACCTTTGCCCTATGCGCCCCCCCCCCCCCCCCCCCAGGCTCAAAAGGAAAGACTAACTAACTTTAAATATTATTAATCCTTATTATCATCATCAACATCACTAAGCACTTAGAAATCTTTTAGGCTCTCGAAAAAATTGGAATCTATCCGAGGATCCTACCCCGTCCTATATGCGATACAAATGTTTTCTTTGTGTCTGCACCCTGAGTTTACGCGTTTATATTTAAAATAATTCATTCTGCTATTGTCTAATATTTCAGAAATATAATTAACAGACAGTAGCAATAGATACTTAAAAATTCTCTTTTTGAAAAATAAAAACAAATATAGGAAATTCGGTCATGTCGTTCGGTCGTCTTCCATTTGTTTTCCGTCTGGATCTTGCATTCCTTTCTTCATCTGGTAACTGATGTAATTATATAATCTCTTCCAAGCGTCCATAGTTTCCTTGGTGTACTGCTCGCCGAGCATCTGTTCGAATCCATAACTGAGGGATGGCCACAGTCGCTGAAACAGAAAACCAAAACAATTTATTTTAAATGTTGATGTCATTAAAATAACTGTTCTTTTAAAGACACAGGGTGGTGATGGTGGTACTGGTGGTAGTCGTTGTTTTTATTGTTGAGGAGGAGGAGGAAAAGGAGGAAGAGGAGGAGAAAGAGTAGAAGAAGAAGAAGAAGAAGAAGAAGAAGAAGAAAAAGAAGAAGAAGAAGAAGAAGAAGAAGAAGAAGAAGAAGAAGAAGAAGAAGAAGAAGAAGAAGAAGAAGAAGAAGAAGAAGAAGAAGAAGAAGAAGAAGAAGAAGAAGAAGAAGAAGAAGAAAAAGAAGAAGAAGAAGACGAAGAAGAAGAAGAAGAAGAAGAAGAAGAAGAAGAAGAAGAAGAAGAAGAAGAAGAAGAAGAAGAAGAAGAAGAAGAAGAAGAAGAAGAAGAAGAAGAAGAAGAAGAAGAAGAAGAAGAAGAAGAAGAAGAAGAAGAAGAAGAAGAAGAAGAAGAAGAAGAAGAAGAAGAAGAAGAAGAAGAAGAAGAAGAACAAGAACAAGAACAAGAACAAGAACAAAAACAAGAACAAGAACAAGAACAAGAAGAAAAAGAAGAAGAAGAAAAAGAAGAAGAAGAAGCAAAAGAAAAAGAAGAAGAAGAAGAAAAATAAGAAGAAGAAGAAGAAGAAGAAGAAGAAGAAGAAGAAGAAGAAGAAGAAGAAGAAGAAGAAGAAGAAGAAGAAGAAGAAGAAGAAGAAGAAGAAGAAGAAGAAGAAGAAGAAGAAGAAGAAGAAGAAGAAGAAGAAGAAGAAGAAGAAGAAGAAGAAGAAGAAAAACCATTGAATATTACGATGAACTAGATACTGTGCTTGTAGATCAAGGACAATCTTTAGAGTAGACAAAGACACGATGCCAAAGAGCCAGTGCACTTATACACCACCTGACACCGTTATTAGGACATCCAAACATAAGTATATGCGCCAAGAAACAAATTATAAACAGCATAATTATACCAACACTGTTCTACCAGTGCCAGACTTTAAGAGGGTTAACCTACGTAAAATTAGCATTCGTAAAATGAGATTCCTGAGAAAGGCCGCCAACCTAACCATCCGAGGCAAAGTTAGAGATTATATTATCAGTCAAACTGTAGGAACAACACTATGCAGCACATTCATTAAGAAACAGATGATCAGATGATTTGGTCATTTAGTAAGAAAGCAGCAAGAACAACTACTAAAGCAGACGGTGCAGATGAAAAAATCCGAAGTTAAAACAAGAGGTCGCCATAGGAGAGCATGGACTGATGGCAAAAAAGAGCTTCGACATCGACAGGAATGACAATAGCCATTGCTGCCCGTCAAACAATGGATGACAAACTATTCTTTTCCGCAACGCTTACGGGCAGAAGTGGAAACTGACGAGGATGATTGCTGGTTTAGTTCAGGTAAACGCGGTCATTACTAATCTCTTTCCATAAAAGCCGCTCTAATGTCCGTGTCATGTGTTTGACAAGAGGTATGATTTATAAGAAAGAAGAAACAAACTACCATCCTCAAGATAATAAGATAATTCCTTAGACAAACTATTAAAAAAAGGCGTGGGACGAGGGGCCTGCATAGAAAGAAATCCCTGGATGGGGTTGGAGTAGAGCGCCTATATGATCCGTGATTCTAGAGATCGTGCGTGGTGTGAACAATCACGTCTACTCTGATCACTGAGAGACACATAAATAAGTAAAGTAAAGGTCTCTTTTCCTCGCCCCTTAGGCGAATAGGGCACATATGGCTAGATCGATATTTTTATAGACCAATCCACACAAGGTGGGTGATGTGGTCAGCATGCAGCCGGCTGCTCTTATTTCCCGGGACTAGAACCGGTACCCACTCAACACTGGGTCGACCTGGGAGTCAAGGTCATTTTTGAAAAAAAGTCTGGCTCTAAAAGGGAGCGAACACACTACCTTCCGATCCGCAGGCGAGCGTCTTGCCGCTTCACTACCGCGATTCCCGAGAGGCAAATGAGGACATTCTGATATTCTTTAATATATCCACTCTGTATAAATACCAGCAGTTTTGATTAATTTTCTTTCTTTAGGATCTCGATTGCAGACTTCTGCGAATGTAGTTTACCTTTGAGAACACGAATAGCAGGCAATTAGCTGTGATTATGTGTAGAGCAGACAATTCTACTTTAAGGCTGCTATTGTAAATATATTTTTGTTTGTTTAAAATCCTACCATTTAATTCTATGGCTTCCTATTTCTCTGCAAAAAAAAAATATAAGTCTAGTAAACAACCTTACTAGTATAATAACTATATAATAAGTTAGGAGAATATTAGTGCTTAGAATTTACTGAATCACATCACCTTGCTTTTTAGTATTCATGAGAAGCTGATTTCCGCAGTGGAAATTTCATCACCACCTGGTTCTTCCTAGTAATGCATTGTTAGTGAGTGTCTGAGGATGCCCAGAGGGAGTTCAGGAGTAACTTTTGTTCCTATAGCTGTGAAACACACGTTATTTTTTCTGCCAGACGCCGCCATCGGCAGAAGACGTGACTTGGAGATCAAGGAGACTCCCCGGAGCAAGGAAGTAATAGCTTCATGACAACGGTTTGGTCCTAGACAGCGTCCAGATTAACTGCTGTTCTTCTGGTTGCTGTATGGTTATGATTGGGAGGAAATAGTGTCATTGTATACACATTACGAATACAGAAAATTGAGGTCTCTAGTGTCTTAATAGTACCAATTTATAAAAGGGCACAGCCCCGGGACATCTGTAAGTACACAGGAGCGCGCTCTCACACAAAAAGTCATCAGTTAATCTTTAAAATTTTCAGGAAATCAATAATAGTATGAGTTATCAAAGACATCAGTAACAGATCGAGCAAACGTCTCTATGACGAGAACAGAGTTGAAGAGACAAACCATACTAAAGAAATAATTTTGTAAAATCGCGTCATTCTGTCTAGTTCTGACGTTTTCCGACATTTTCTTCTTAGTTTCTTTACGATATATATATATATATATATATATATATATATATATATATATATATATATATATATATATATATATATATATATATATATATATATATATATATATATATATATATATATATATATATATATATATATATATATATATATATATATATATATATATAGCCCATTCCGTTGGTTACGTACTTTTTTTCCATATTCATAGTAGCTGTTTATAAGCTCCGTTATCGTGATCTGTAAGTTTTGTAGTCACAGAGTGTGTTGTATTTAGTACTACACTGGTTTAAAACTAACTGAGACTTTAGGTTGCATTTTTACGAGTCTTCAGTTCCTTTCGTTAAACTCTTTTTGCCAGTGTGTGTTTTGTATTCAGTAATTCCTCATATCGTCTTGACTACTGTCAGTGCTATGTTTATGTCTCCATTTTAACATTTTGTTGATATCTACAAAATCCGACAAATACACACACTATTTTTGTGTTTGACTTTTGTTTTGGGCTACCTTAAGAAATCTGTGTGCAGTTTCAATCGGAGATTTGTGTTCGGTACACTTTAGTCAACCATTTAGGTCTGGCCACATTTTGAAGAACGCCACATTTCTCATTGATAGTTTTATCCTCATGAACCAACGACAAGCATCAGCTATCATTTATATTAGCGTTGTCCGACCTAGTGGAGTATACGGCGGCGATAACCTGCTACTAAAGCTTCACTTAAAATTACTCTCTTCTCTCTTTCCAAAAAGCCAGAATAAGGTGATCTGTACCTAGAAGGCAACATCCTTCTAAAAAGAAGGAAAACCCCTCATTTTTGGGGGTAAAATTGAACAAAAGGCTAACTTGGGGTCCCCATATTGAAGTCACCCACAGGAAAGCTACCATAGGGCTCAGACTTATAAGAAAACTGACTGAAACAAGCTGGGTGCGGATACCAACACTGTACGACAAGTATACACAGGATGTGTACGACAAATACTGGAGTATAGCATGGGAGCTTACTCCACTGCAGTCGAATTAAACCTACACAAACTGGATAAAACACAAAACATTGGTCTCAGAATCATCACTGGAGGTATAAGAAGCACACCAATCCATGAGCTGGAGGTAACTTCTGGCTTCCAGAGTTTGAGCTTTCAAAGGGAAGAAAAGGTGTTTACACTAACATAAAAATGAAAACGCATAAACAACAACCCTATGCACAGAATAGCAAAAGACAACTTAAAACTGACTGAAAAGACCAAGCTTTCACAGTCTATCAAAACTGTACTACACAAAAAACAGTGACGTCCCTTCTAAAGATCCTTCAACATAGGAAATGATCCAGGCATATAGCATAGACCTACAGCCTAACTATACAGTCACAACAACAAATTCCAGGCATAGACGGAAAGGCTGAAAAAAGTACCATAGATCAGAACACTAATTGAGGGGAAATGCTAGGACTTGTGGAGAGACCAAACTAACAGTAAACATTTAATGGACCCCTTCAGCAGACTTAACAGAAAGAAACACGCAGCAAGTGTCCGTCTACTAACAGGAGACTGCACGCTTAACTACCACATACATAAAATAAAGATTGTACAGTCCCCTCAGTGTGCCTGTCAAACAGGACCACAAACACCTGAGCACATTCTGCAGACCTGCCCACTCTGCCTACAACTTCGAAAAGACACATGGGCTCAAGAGCAAAGTGTGTAGAGCAAGATAAGGGGACTATGAAGGACCTGTTACTGACATGCGAATTCATAAAGGCAACCCACCTGATTGTCTGATCTTAGCATACGACACCGAAAGCAAAGAAGAAGAAGAAGAAGTTGCGTATATTTTACAGGATGTTAAAAACCAACCCCAGAATTTTTCGGCTGATTTGGTTTTTCAATTCAAACTTTACGTTCAGTAGTTTGGCATTGCCTACTGAACGGTCAGCTCTCGGTACCACTGTCGAAACCAAGGCAAGACAGATCACCCGCAGCTAGGATCGAGCCCATCTGATGTCCAAAAATAAATGAATGGAAAATTTGAT